TGTTTGATTAATAATTATTTATAATTTTTGATCAGAAAAAAAGAATTTTGCTGTTGTTCATTTGCATTAATAAATAATAATCATTTCATTCGTCGTCCTCTTTTAACGCGATCGAAAGAAAGAAAAAAGTTCGCAAATCATTACGAACGAATAAAAAAAAAAATTCAATTATAATATAAACATTGTCTATATATATTTTTTTTGTTTTGAAAGATCGATTGAGACGACGAAGGTACGAAGAATAAAGTTCGAGTGTAGAATAGTGTGAAACCGTCGACGGTTCTCGACACCATCTGCGTTTTCCAAGCTGCCACACCGTCACTGGCATTGCTGCGAGCAAATAAATAAAGCTGAAGGAAGTAACGATAGAGGGAAAGGAAGGAAAGAAGAAAAGAAGGAAGGAAGGAAGGAAAGAAGGAGGACCGAAAAAAAGAAAGTAAAAAGGAAAGAAAAAAAAAAGAGAAGTATAGAAGAAGAAGTAGAAGTAGAAGGAAGATAAAAGTAAAAGAAAAAGAGAAGGAAAATCGTTTCGGGCGCAGGGTAAATAAAGTTTTAAATTTCCGCAGTAGTTCCCCGCGTTCTTCCCACCCACCCCTCGTCCTCCTACCGCGCGTTTCTCCTCGCAAACTGGGTACCTCTACTATCTGCATAATATATCTCTAATGTGGCGGAGGGAAAAGAGGCCGGCAAAACTTGCTTCCACGGTTGGCTTCGAGTATAATGTAAGGAGAAATTCGCCCAGGAGTAGGCGAGGGTGGTTGGTTGGTTGGGTAGGTAGCGATGACGATGCTGGTGCTGTTACTGGTGGTGCTTGCTGCTGCTAGTAATGCTGCTGGTGGTAGTAGTAGATTATGGTGGTATTGGTGTTGGTGGTGGTTGCTTCCGTTCCATCGTGGTGTGCTTACGGTGAGATACCCGACGTGAAAGAGTAAGAGGGAGAGAAGAAGTAGGTCCTCTCCCTAGGAGGCACAGGGCTTAAATAACGCGAGTTTGAATTTATAGTAATACTTTTATGAAATAATGTTAGTGGCGGATATTAAGGCAGACACTGGGACCGTCGTTGGCTAAGCGCCATCCGGAAAGTCTCCTTTGCTTCCCTCTCTCTCATACACACTCTCTTTCTCTTTCTCTCTCTTATCCACTCTTATTCTCTCTCTTACTCATCCCCTTCGACTCCGATTTTCTCGGTGGTTCACTCGTGAGAAACTTTCGCGATCTTCCTAGCTCGAAACCTACCTCGCTGACTTTTGATGACGATTCGGGGATTATAACACTGGAAATATGGAAAAGTCGCGTCTACAAAGTTTGCCGGACGCCTTACTAAATAACGACTACTTTTTTTCGAATACTCGATAAAAAGTGGGATACCTATGTAAGTACGTACGTAAGTCCTCTTCCTTTCGGTTGGAATTCCCATCTTTTGACAATACTTTTACTTTAGTTCGTTTATATATGTTAGTATACTTGACTTTAAGAAGATCGTATATCTAATTGTCAACGCGTTTAACGGGATTTTAATATCCTCCTACCGACTCTTTCAAATATAATACTTATTCGAATTTCCAACTATTTTTATGTTTCATTACATACCAACCACTCCTGTGATTTTATTGTTATTAGTGTATTATAAAAGATGATAAAATAAGAAATAATGGTATGACGTTTCGAATGACTTTTTAATCCACATAAGGATCTGTCTTTAGAGGAAAAAAAAACATCTAATACAAAAATAAGACGTATTGTAAATTCGTACATTAAATATGAAACTTCATCGATAATTGTATATTTTCTATATAAATATATTTTATAAACATTATAAATCATTCGCGTATAAAAAGAGATAAGCGTAATCTTTTTGTAAATCTCTTAGCAGAGAGAGAAAAATAAACAAACAAATAAACAAATAAATAAACAAAAATCAATCTTAATCATTATCTCTCAGGCGAGTTGGTTTTAACGTGTAGGTGGCATGAAAATAAAATGTGGCACAAGGTCTCCGGGGTATTCCTACGAGGCTTCGGGCGTTCTCTGGAAAAGGGTGCCGGGACTAACGGGCCGTACATAACGAAGCGAAAGCCGCGTAAAATTCGTAGGCGAATGCTCTTTAATTAGCACGGCGCACTTGTCCCGCGGCCGAAGGAAACGAGAGAAAGAAAGGAACGACAGAGAAAGAGAGAGAAAGAGAGAGAGAGAGAGAGAGAAATATTGAGATGAAAAGAGGTAGGAAATGGGTAGGAAAAAGAAAGATGGAAATAGGGACTTAAATAATTATCGCTGTTTCGAAGCTACCACCACCACCACCACCATTACCACCACTACCACCATTACCATCACCACCAACACCAACACCATCATACCGTTAACACTACCGTGCTAAAGTCGTGCCCAACCAAATCCGCATCTGTTTCTGATTATTAATTAATATCAACCAACCCGAGGCCGCGTTTGCATGAGCGCATTCGTCTCTCTCTCTCTCTCTCTCTCTCTCTCTCTCTTTCATTTGCTTTCTTTCTCTCTTTCTCTCTCTTTCTCTCTCTCTCTCGTATTCTCTATATGTATGCGAATATTGTATATTTTGTGTTATGTGTCGCGTGCAGAAAGAGAAAGAGATAGATAATACGAATGGAAGAGAAAGGTAAAAGAGAAAGAGAAAGAGAGAGAGAGAGAAAGAGAGAGAGACGAAAGCCGCGCATTCATATGTTGCGCGGAAACGAACAGAATGGTCGGCGAGCATTAAAATTAATGAAACGGACGGAACGCGCGTTTTAACGAAAATGTATGTGAGCGATCAGGCGGAAGCGTGCGCTCTCTCGGACATGAAACTAGCAACGCGCAAACGCTCTTCTCCAACTCTCTTTCTCTCATTCTCTCATTCTCTTTTTCTATTTCCCTTTCTCACCAACCCCTTTTCTATGTTCTCTATGTACCTATCTGTCTCTATTTCTCTCTTTCTCTCTCTCTCTTTATCACTCTCTCTCTCTCTCTCTCTCTCTCTCTCTCTCTAACACTGTTTTTCTCTCTTTATTGCACCAGAACACTTCATCCCTTTGAATCCCAAACTGTAGACGAGAACGTATATACTCTGAGAAAACCGTAACGTTTATTTCTCTTACTTCTTAAGTAAGGACTAACTTCTCGACTTAACGCTTGCTTAAGTACTCGCGTGTCTTTCTCTAATATACGAGCTTTACTAATTGTAAGTTCAAATAAGAAAGTGGAAGAGAAATTATTTATACAATGTATATATCTACGGGTTTTATATATATATTTTTAATAAAATGTATGCAATCAATGCAATCCAAAATGTTATCATTTTTTACTTATTCGATCGTTAAGTTTAATTAAATTTATACATATGTATTAAGCTTTTTGTATTAATTCTTAAGCCTTTGAATAAGAGAGAATGATGGTTATTAATAATTTAATCAAATATTTATTCTTACGTATATAATTAAGTTTGAAATATAAAGATATAAAAATGTGTATCTGTAATAATATTCATATATCTCTAAATATATTTGTAAAATATAAAAATATATCTGCAATAAACAGTTAGACATATATTTAATAACGTTACACGTAGAAACACAAATTTGCGTATAATATTTAATAATCCTAAAGCAAAAATAAATAAACGTTATTAATTGCTGGAGGATTTTTTGTATAACTACACCGACAACTTTGATGAAGTATTTGACAAACAATTAACAAGTTAAAGATCTTAGAAAAATTTTAATTGGACTTAAAAGCTTAAAAAGCTTAAAGAAAAAGTAGATGAAGAAAATGAAGAAGAAGAATAAGGAGAAAACAAAAGATTTGAAAAGTTGTCGGCATTGTTTAAGCGACCACCATGTTCCCTGACCGTCCCTACTTACCCCCTCGTTCGCCCTCCATCGTTGGACAAGAGCACGAGAGGGTGAAGAGTTCTTAATTAAGAAACTTGACTTACCCATGAACGATGTCGCGAAAAGATCGAAGTAGTGACAGGATGACGTCTAACCGTTGTCAGGGTTCACCAACCACCGCACGCGAATATAAATTCGTCCATTATCCGGTGATTAGTTCCAGAAAGGGATTACAAGACAATGAAAACGCGACCGTTCCACAACTTTCCTCATTTTTTTTTTCTTTTTTAACATATATACTTCTTTTATTTGAATCACTTCCAATTTATTTTTTTTTATTTCTATATATAATATAATATGAATATATTATTTCTTAAATTATAATAATAAATAAATAATCCTTCTTATTTGTATCTTTAATTGCATCCTTTAAATAAAAAAGGAACAAACATATTTGTTTGTATCTTAATTCAAATTAATGTACACTTATTTTAATAGAAATGTTAACAACAAATTTCGAGATATATATATATAATTTTTAACAATTAATATCTTTTATTCACAAAATCTTTTCTGATGATTTTCTTGTCATATTATAAAACTATAAATCTAGCTTGTATTATCGCAAATCAACTGATAAATTTAAATAATCATGAAAAAGATTAATTAATTTTTAAAATCACACTTCAAATATTTTAATTTATTTTATTTGTAACTTCGATAATAGATACTATCGAATTGTGAAGTACATCGATTATGTTCAGATGGCGACACTGAATGGTTTGATACACCATAATAATTATTATTGTTTGACTTACCGACCGTCAACAAAGATTTTAAATTGCTGACAAATTTACTCTGACAATAATAATTCTACTAATGTAGGGGATGCTCGGCCGATAATACGTGGATAAATTAATAAATTTATTTTCCCTACTAATTCAAATGGAGTTAGATAGATAAACGTCAGTGGATTAAAATAGCTGATTACCGATAACAAATACTAATATATTATAAAAGACTAACTCGATACAAAAATATGCTGCACGTAAATTGCAGATGGTAAAATTATCCTTTGATTACTTATTATTCATAGTTTTAGCTTTTGAATCTAGTTACTAGATGGCACGACGATGCACATTATTACACCCCTACTATACAACCCCTACACAAGGAACGGAAAGGTTAAGTTTTTTATTATACAGTGTATGTCGTCATTACATTGATTAAAATATGTGTGCAATTTGCGATGCATGGGCAAGGACTATAAAAAGTTCTCAAAAGATACCTTATAAAAAATAGAGTAGTCTATACAATAATTATATCGTAAAAATCGAACACCTAAATCCACTTCTCAGTCACGTGTCCAATGCACTTCTACCCAATGTCTACCGTGTCGCCATCTTTCGGAGATAATTATAAAAAATGCATTAACCAATTCGTGCAATCTACATCTATGCTAAGGTTAACACGTGGATTTTATTAAAGAAAATATTTACTTTTTATAAAAGTATTTATATCCTAAGGCAAAATGCAGCACGACGATGTACGTAAAAGAAATCATTTATAAAGTTATAATACTTTAATATAAAAGTATATTTTTAACTTGTCATTTTGAACTTTTTTATTTCTCACAGGTTGTTTGGAGTATAATTAATAAATCCTTTTGTTCATTTAAAGTGAAGTAAGTATATAAACATTTTTATATATTAATTGTATTTCATTTGTATGTATAATAATTTATTATAACTTTTATCATTTTCTTAATAGCACCAAAACACAAAGATTTTGTAGAAATGAATATAACCTCACAGGATTATGCAGCCGGGCATCGTGCCCTCTTGCAAATAGTCAATATGCAACCATTAGAGAAGAGAATGGTATTATTTATTTGTATATGAGAACTGCGGAAAGGTAATCAATTAATTCTCTAAGTGTATACCAAAATAATTTTTATCACATAAATAATATACAATCTTAATTTTGTAGAGTACATTTTCCTAAGGATATGTGGGAGAAAGTAAAACTTTCTAGAAATTTTGAGAAAGCTATCTATCAAATCAATGAGAATTTACTGTATTGGCCAGGTTTTATAAAAGCAAAATGCAAACAGAGATTTCTTAAGATAACGCAATACCTCATACGTATGAGAAAACTTAAACTAAGGAGACAGAAGAAAATAGTACCACTTTCTAGGAAAATTGAAAGACGTGAAAGACGTAGAGAAGAAAAGGCTCTTATTGCTGCTAAAGTAGAAAACGTTATCGAGAAGGAGCTTATGGAAAGATTAAAACAAGGAGTTGTTAGTAAAAATACTTCAAATGTTATTAATATGCTATCGATTATTATTTTGATGTTTCATTCTAATTTTTTGCTTACACACAGTACAATGAAATTTACAACTTCCCACAAAAAGCATTCGATAAAGCTGTAGAGGCTGTTGAAGTTGAAGGCGAAGATGAGAGTGAAGCGGAAAGCGAAATGGAAGAGGAGAAAGAAAATATTGAAAAGGAAGTAGAAATGGAATTGGAAGCGGATGAAAGGAGAGCTATAGCTAATGGACCACGATACATAGAAGCAGAAAGTGATGATGAAGATGATGATTACAATGATGAAGAAGAATACAATTTTAATGTAGAATCTATGGTAAGAACGATCGAACTGAAAAAGTAAAAATATAAGTATAAATTTCTAATGCATTTTTTATACAGGATGAAGATAGCGACTCTGGTCAGAAAGAATTAGTTGAATTATCTGATAATTTTGAATCGGACACTGATGATATCGAGGTAAACAAATAATCTAATTTTAAAACATAAAAAAGTGATACAATAAGAAAATCATAAATAATTTTTTATTCTTACTAGGATATTGTACCGTCAACGAGTAAAGCGAAACCATCGAAAACTAAATATAAAAAATCTCAAAAGAAGAAAAGATTGCGCCCAAGAGTTGAAATCGAATATGAAATCGAGAATGAACCTCCTGTACGACAAAAAGCATAGAAAAATGTTTAAAACAAATTCTTCCAGTTATATTTTCAATAAACTAATTAAGTTTATGACTTCTTACATTATTTTACCTTTAATTTGAATAATTTCTAATTATTAATTAAAGTTAGATATTAATTATATATTTTTTAATGTACATAATCAATTTATTTCATAATAAAAATAATTTAGAAAAACTAAATTAGTACTAAATAACACTTTTTTAATTTGTAATTTACAATATGAGAAATGAGAAGTAACTAATTTAAAAATGGCGCTAAATTGATTGGAAGCGCCCCTAAAATAATAAAAGCAGATGGCGACTGGTTTGATGGAGATTACCGTATCTCGTAAGTCTTAGCAGACGATACACACAATTCACAAGTGAAGTAAGTGATAAATTATTCATTTACTAGTTATTAACGTTTATTATTTCTTTTTCTTATTTCTATTTTATTAATTCTTTTTGTCCATTGTAATCATCGCAAATTACGTTTGATCGAATAACACGTTATTTAATATTCAAGCTTTTTTAACATGATCCATTGTTCTCCAAATATCATTTCAAGAAAATATATTGCAGTGTTAAGTAGAGTTTTGTATTCGTCGATATTTTTGAATCGATAGATACCAATTTCGTGTACGTTCAAAAATAGAGACACAGATTACAATTATATTATTTGATATTCGATACTTATCGAATTAAACTAATATTGTTAATTATTATCGTACCGGTTATTAGTATCTTTTTCTTTTTTTTTTTTATTCTTTCTTTCCAAAGGAGAAGGACGATGCACTGCCCGTGGCAAAATGTCATGAACGTGCTCACACCGCGACGGTAGCCTTTTGTTTGCTATTTATAGAAAAAGTAGGTTATCCACAAAATCAATTCCAAAAAAAAGACCGGAATTGTATCACCTCATATTCCTTAACAATTCTTATGTGGCGCGAAATAATGCATATTATTTATACACTTCCTTCCTTTCCTTCCCTTTAATTTTTTCTCCGGCTTTTTCAACCAACACGTTTAAGTTAATATTTACTTGTCATAAAAAGTGATTTTTATTTTTTATTTTCATATCTTTAATATATATATATTTCTTCTTTGTTTTTAATTAAAATCAAGATCAAATTCTTTTAAATATCAATTAAAAATGAATATCTATCTTTATGAAATCTTATCTTCTGTATTTTTATTTTCTTTTTTCTTTTTTTTTAGGCATATCATCATGAAACGCAGAACGGTTTTATGCACCTCTAAATAATAGGATTAATCTAAAAGCAATCATGTATTATTATCTGGTAATAACATAAGTTTATCTAATACCTCTTTACTCGTAAATGCCAAAATGATGAATAATACCAGTATGGAACTTAACAATGTTGGTGGCAGCAAAAGTTCTGTGTATTTAGTAATATCTTTTAAAAAATTATGTATGTTCACCGTTTGCCTACCATTGTTCTCCTTGCTATTTTGTTTTGTCACAGCATATATTTTTCAACAGGATGACATTCATGAAACACATTGCAGGGTACGTACGATAATAAGATCAGCTTTCTCTCTCTTTTTGTTATTATAAAAATGTATATTATTTAATAGGAATTATTTTATGTATATATATATATATATATATTGCTTCAGGTTTACAATGTCCTACCATCGATTTCTGCTATTACTGGTGTATCTCCTCAACGATATTTATGGCGTATTAGCATAGCATTGCATATTGGACCTCGTTTAGTTATCGCCAGTGTATATCACTCGTATTATTATAAAATACTCAAATCCTTGGAAGATGTACCTAGCAGAATTGTGGGATGCAGACTATTAAATTTATGCTATTGGTTAAACATTGCTGAGGTAGCTGCCTTAAGCGGCGTTACATATATCTCAAACAGAGAGAATTATCGTAAGTAAAAATATTATTTATGTATTATCGAGTCTATTGAATGCAAGGTGAATCAATAGCGCAGTAGTACTATTTAAAATTTAATTAACATGCTTTGCATGCAATTAGTTAAGATGATGCTAACAAAAAATTCACCTTGTTGACGGTAGCGCAAACCTGCTTCTAATTAGAACTAAATGAAGTAAATTAAAGTATTAGCTTGTAAATGTAAAATAAAAGTTTCAGATTATCAGTTTAACATTTATTGTTTCTTTTTACTTTTTTTAGCTGTACATGAAAAGATTTTTATCGTGTTCATGATCAGCTCTCTTACATATATGTTGACAACGGTAAGATTAGGCCGTCTTGTTACTCCTAATGCACAAAGTCTTCAGTACAAGCAAGCGTTATTTGTTACAAGCATGATCAGTACAGTGGGACTCATTATCTTCTTTTTAAAACATCGACTCTTATGTCACGACTTGGGTAAGAACATTTTTATTTTAATTATTCCTTATGTTCTATAGCTTATATAAGATGTTATTGTCACATAGATGCTTTTTCATTATGGCATGTATCTGAAGTCTACTTTCCTAACTGATACTTATCTTATTATATATTTTTTTCTCTCCATTAGCATTTAGCTGGTTCTCACTATGTGAATATGTGATAGCCTCAGCGAATATGGGATTTCATTTTACAGTAATCCTAGACTTTCCGAAAGAACAACTGGTTGTTGGTTATGGATTACCTGCCACAAAAGTGGATTAATTTTATAGAATAATTTATAATTTTGATTCTTATCTTAAAGTGTCTACTGCCATTACCTGAAAGTGCTATAGCTTATTATTATTATTTTTTAATCAAGAAAATTAAATGAAAATTTTAATATTTTTTAAGATGTACAAAGTAATCTGTTAAAATTTATTATTGTTCTTATTTATATCATTGTATTATATTTAACGAGTTAAATTTAAATTATTTCAATTTTTATATTTTAATTATCATTATTGTTTTTTGAAGTACAAAAAAAATTGTTTAATTATACAAAATTAAATCTTAGATATAATTTCTATTAACATAAGTTGAAAGAAAGAAATATAGCACTTTCAAAGTACGGCACTGGTGACTTGTCGATGAATCTTCTAATGGCCTTCCAATAACAATTATTAATTAGTGAAGAAAAACATCGTAGTGACTATAATTAAAGAAGTTGTATTACATATAAACAGCACGTATAGTATGTAGTAAAGTAAGATCAGAAATTAGCACACATAAATTGAAGTTTTTTCACAAGAAAAAGGTCCATCGTCGTACGTAACGAGGAGAAAATAAAAAGATACAAGGAGCAAATAATAAACGAGAGAAAAAAAAAGAAGAAATAAGAGAAAAAGTTTGTTTGGAAGAGAATTTAAAAAGTTTATCTTTGTAGAGAATTTTTTGAAAGTGGTGATTCTAGTCGATCGCATAAAGTCTAGTCGCTACGTTTTTCAATCGCTTTATATAAAGTAGAGAAAACATTATTTTGTATGTTCAAATTCGTTGTTAAGAGACATATATAGAGAGGAAGAAAGAAAGAAAAAAAAAGAAGGAAAGAGATAAATGCATTTATGTCGATGTAATGTAGATCTATGAAAATTGACGATTCATCAAATGAACGTGCAATGAGAAAAAGATCTTAAGTATAATATTATCTGATAAAATATCTTCTAATTAATATCTTGTTGGAGGAGAAAGAGCATCGATGCTAGTTGGTATGTAATACGTGTAGGAAACAGGGCTTATAAGTTTAGATTTTAAGATAACCGAATGATTTCTGTGAGATCTATTTACGAGACTAATTATTATTAAAATATGAGAAGTAACCGTCATACGAGAAGCTTAGGATGTAGTTCCTATGTTTTTAACTCTAGCACATAAATATTTATAATTCATATATATGTACATGTATATATATATATATATACATACATAGTATTCGATATTTCAGTAGAATCGTAAACGTTTTAACGATTATTAAGACATTTATTTGAGAAGAGTATGCTCAAAGAGGAATCGCAAAAGAGGCAACAAAATAATTTAAATGATTCTGCGATCCCTCGTTGTATAATCTGACCAAGGGATGAAATTTGAAACGATGTTTGTAACAATCACTTGTTTATGTGGGTTAAACTTTTCGAATCAAGAGAACCCTGTTAAATAACAAAAATGTTCTCTCGTTACATATAAGATATTAGTATATTCCTCAAGCACAAGAATTTTATAGAACAATAGTATTGCATATAAGCATTTAGCAAATGTTAGTTTGAACAAAATCAACTCTTACTTACATATATACATATATCCATACATACATACATATATATATATATATATGTATTACTTCAAAAGCTTTCCGTTTGAAATATTGATACGTATGGTACATTAATATATTATATACTATAGATCGTTATTTACATTACACAAGTTAGAAAAAACATCTGTTTTGCACATTTTTATACACACGAATACTATTTACTCTTTCTCTATATATTTTAATACGAGAATCTTTTCTTAGGTTACTTATCTAAACAATAAACCACCGACATGTTCGCCTATGTATTTGTATTATATGTGTACAAGCTGGTGATTATGAAAGTAATTTAAATTATAAATTTGTTAAACATTACGCAATAAGATAATTTTTTACTTCACTTTGTAAATCATTGGTTTACAGATATATGCTATTAATAATTATATTATGTGAGCCGATGATTACTTTCTTAATCACTGTTTAATATATATATATATATATATATAGATTCTTTCTAAAAATTATATGCGATATGCAATTAATTTATGTTGTCAACAAAAAAAGAAAAGGAAAGAAAAAAATGTCGAAAGGCTGGCGAAATGTCGTCATGGTTAAATATTGTCATTTGTTGAGAGTAATTTTTTACTCTTTTCATCGTCATTAACATGTAGAAAATGAGAAATGATTAATGATCGGTAACCAATGATCATGATCAGCTTATTCAATGTTATCACAACGTTCCGTCAATCCGTGCCAAGTGATGCACTAAAGATAATAATAGTAATAATAATAATAATAATATAAATAATATATAATTAATAATAGTAATAATAATCCACATTTTTGCGCTTCATATTGATATCAAATTGTAAATGCTTGGTAAACTATTATCAGTGATAAGATCTTTAATGAATCACTTGTTTCTCGTGCCTGATATCGAACGCTACCATATCGATAAATATATATACATACATACACATGTATCACATATGCACGTATATACATACATACATACATGAATATATTTACATACTAAATTCAACAAGAGCTACCATACCGATGTATATAGTGAATCAGAGGAGTTTTCGTATCTCCATTGTCAATTTTAAACAATTAAATTCGCTCGTAATGCAGTATTTTAAGATTGACTCAAAGGGGTAAAAATATATGGGAATAAAATTAAGAAGTATATATTTAAAATTAAAAAAACACACATACAGTTAATTAACTAATAATATTTATTTTCTTTTTAAACAAAATCAAATCATTTTATGTCAAATTATATTTTTCCAACAATCGAATGTTCTTATGCAATAAATTCATATCATTTTGAAAGTTTAAATGATCTTAAAATAGATTTCGTGCGTTAAAAATATTGAAACTTTGCATTACAAGCAAATATCAGTTTAAAATTGACAATGGGAGAACAGATACGAATATTTCTCTGAGTCATTGTGCATATATACATACAACATGTAAGCACTTATATGCACACACAATTAAAAACGTATATTATACATATATGAAAATGCAATTTGCTGCGTGCACCTGGTGTTGTTTAAGAATTAAAATAATTTTGAATACATTTTCACACACGACGAGAAAAATAATGCACGGAAGGATTGAATAGTCATATCACAGTGTCATTCCCTTAGTGTCAGATTTAAGCTCTCTATCTCTAATTAAATAAAGAAGAAAAAAAAAAGAAAAGGGGAATTTTTAAACGATAAAACAAAAGAGAAGTAAGGAGAGAAATATTACAATTAATTGAAACAGGGTTGTTGATGTACGAAATACGAACTTGATCGACATCGCGTTAGAGTTTTTTAATTGTTAATTATTATTTTGCGTGTTTTAATTATCATTACATATTATTATTATTATTATTATTATTATTATTATTATTATTATTATTATTATTATTATTATTACTATTATTGTAGAAAATATAATACGCGATTGAGCTCGCAGAGTATGACAACACTATGTTACGTTTAAACAAAGTAAAAGAAAGAAATTTGGCATGATCGAGATGATTGACAAAAGATAATGATCGAGTGCCAAGTAAACAGTGATCGAGAGATCAGTTAGATCCTTGACACGAGTGTCAAAATCTTTATTTAATCGATGTCACTCACTTGGCACGTAGAGTCTGGCAAAAATTAGGCTGAATCTCTGTCACGCGTTGAGAATGATAAATAGATAAAGATATAGACAGAAGTAGAGAGTGAGAAAGAAAAAAAGGGAGAGGTAAATCTATAAAGAGCAAGTAAGAAATAGAAAAAAGTGAGAAACTAAGTATTTCCAAATAAGCACACACGACTAGAAGGATCGAATATTATTTTATTTTAATATCCTTTCGTATTTTTTTAAACAAGATAGAAAATGGGGAAAACGATAGTTCGTTAGCTAATTGTAAGTATGCAAAATGGAACAGATAGAATCATTTTTAATATCGTTGGTAATGAAACGAATCATGTTACAATGTTTTCTTTTTTTTTTCTTTTCTTTTCTTTTTAGTATTATTATAATATCTCATTACAGTAAATGCATATTTATGCATGCATCTTTAAATGTTGATTTAGTTTTCTGTTCTTTTTGTTTTGTTTTCTTTTTTTTTTTTTTTTTTTTTTAAAGTTCAAATCGCGAGTAAATAGAATTACGAATAGAACGAATTTATCTCATTAAATAATTTTAGCGTCGTATAAATGAATGCATGCAAGTAGTGTTCGTATATTCATCAGGAAAAATAAAAACACACATCGGTGTTTTGCGATAAAAATAATTCCTTAGGAAAGTATAAATGACGAAAGAGAGCATGCTTATTAAACACGCACGTAAAAAATATAAAGAATGAACGTGAAAGGTAACGAGGAAGAATAAACAAATAAAGTAAAAAAAAAAAAAAAAGAAAAAAAGATAGAAGATTAATCAAACACATAGAGACATATACACGTACACGTACACATTTCAAGAGTGATTTTTAAAGTATTATAAACAGGATCGTACGCACCAATTTCGTACACGTGCGTTTGCATATTTTAATCTTTACTATTAATGTATTATATATGTATATTGTTTGTTTCTTATCACGCTTATCGATCTAATCGATCGAATCATGTTCCAATTGCGGAACGTGCATTGAAAATAATCATTAAATTTGTTTTCTTCTTGTCTTTCTATGACGTACGAAGAAGAAATTATAATTACATATATGTATCATTATATTACATATACTATAAATGCCAAGTTTAAAAAAAGCACAACGACAAAAATATGCGCGGAGGGTATTTTTTTAAGACGAAGATCGAACGTCAAACTTATCTGTCCTAATCCACGCGAATTCGTGCCACAAATGAATCCTGGTTTTATTTTAACAAAATAAAAAATGAAAGGACAAAAAAATTAAAGAGAGTACAATTGACAAAAAAAAAAAAAGAAAAAATAAAAAAATAAAAATATGAAAGAGAAAATGAGTAAAAAATATATTACATGTGAGACACGATTTTAAATTAAATTTCGTTTCAAGGAAAACTTATTTTTTTTTTTTTTTTTTATTTAACTTTGTACACACGCGTATTACGAATTGCAATTTTTTGTGGAAAAAATCTACATTATATATACATATAATGTTCTATATCTCCGAGGTACGGGTATATATATATTTTTCGATTTTATTATTGGTAAAAAAAAATATGTGTGCGTCTAATTCACTTGGCAATGATGAAGTATTATAAAAAAAAAAAAAAGAGGAAACAAAAAATAGAAGATATAAAAATTCAATAACGCACCGCAATGGGAACTGCTTTTCATTCTCTTTCGATATTGAAATAATTTTAACAAATTTTTTATTTATATAAATATATATATATATATATATCTCTTTTTGTTTTGTTTTTATTTTATTTTTTTTAATTAATTTCTTTAAACGAAGGAAACGATTCTGTGATACGGAGCACAAAAGATATTTTTTCTCGCCTTTACATAAAACAATTTCCTTTTGTGTGTCATTTCTTTTAATTATAATAATTTTTTCCTTGTTATTTATTTAATTAGTTGTTGTTTGAAATTAATTTTAATTCATCCATCGTTTCCTTCCCATCGCCATATTAGATCGATATATCATCGTTGATCTATATCTTGATCTTTATCATATAACATATAGAATTTTCTTCGTTCACAGGGCACTTACTTTATATTACGACAATTTAATGATAGCATTTAGTTGACTAGTTTAAGAAATCTAATGTTATCGTGTTTAAGAGAAAGAAAGAAATTTGTAATATATACTTTCTTTAATTCTCGTAACACTTGCGCAATATGATTAGATAAGTAAGCTGATAAGAGTATCGAATGTCAATGAGAAAAAATATAATAAATAAAAATGTGTAAGTTTATTCAAAGTTTTCAATCAAAATACATTTAACTTTTTTGATCGATTTTGTTCATTATTTTTATTAGTAAAAATAATGATGAAAAAAACTAATTAAAAGATGTTGCGAATTTTGTTTTTATCTTGTTTCTTTTTGATGAAACTTTTTTTATATCGAAGTACGATCTAAAAAAGAGAGAATTAATCTAAAAGAAATATTAATTATTATCGATTCCTGCGTTGGATAATATTATTTAAGTTAAACCAAAAAATATATCATATTTCTAATTAAAACTACATTTATTTTCGGATATATATCTAATAGGATCGCAAATTATCGTCGTTGTATTATAGTTGTACGATATTTGTTCTAGTTAATAAGAGTAAGTTGCCCTGTGTGCTGTGATTAGAATGTTCCATGAGAAATGACTCTTATGAGAGATTGCATTTTTGTGATTGCAAAGCAGCGAAGTATGTGTAAACGAATGATTATCGAATAAAAGATCTACCACACATCTATCTCGAAAATATCGAACATTACTTTTCTCTCTTTTTTTTTTTCTCTTTGATTATTTTAATCATAAATTCAATTCCACGAGTTTTATTTAAATAATCAATAGATACCTATTAGTGTAAAAAGAAAAAGAAAAATGTTTTTCTTGTTCTTTTTTTTGTTTATCTCTTACTCAGCGTCGTCGTTTGAACATTTTTTCATTTCCGTATACCTTAACACAAGGTTTTTTCTTTTCGACGTTGACGATTTTGGAACATTTGTTAAGAATTTTTTTAACATCATCCTTACGATCTTCTTCTAAAAGAGGAGGAGGAGGAGGTGGTGGAGGAGGACGAGGAGGAGGAGGAGGAGGAGGACGAGGAGTCTCATAGGAGGAGGCTCTAACTTCGACGCATTTTCCACATCGCCAAACGAGTCTGGGATCGTAGACGTCTATATCGATGACCGCTGGATTATGGCAAAGGGGATGATAGATCTCTTGGCACTCTTGGCACTCAAGCAATATCAGAGGACCCAACTTCGTACCGTTGCATATCTTTGATTCGTTTAATTAGTTATTCAATAGTTCTATCTCTTGGTATAACATATATATTTATAATTAAACATATTTATAAATATAAGTATATATGTATATTTTTATATTTAAATTAATATATATATATGTGTTTATTTATAAGATCGTTAATTGGGTCATTATATAGATTTTCTTCGGTATAAATAATTTGTCGATATTTTAAATGGTCGACATTTGAAATAGGATTACGTCAAAGTTACGTACTTGTACAAAACACGAATAAATATTTTATCTATCGATATAATACCGAGCTTCGATTTGAAAAATTGTTGGATTCGATCAATATACAAAAAATGTTGACATACTTATCGTGTGTGGTCAATTTAATGTAAAAAGAATATTTGAGATATTTAACCTTGCAAAGTGCACCATCCGTTGCGATATCATCAGGAATCGAGATTCTTGGTATATCGATCTTTTCAAATTCATCATCAGCATCATCATTATCATTATCATCGTTATAATTATCATCATCATCATGATTTTGTTCGTCGTATGTCCTTTGAACATTTATTTCAACATTTTTTACCGATTTCTCGTTTATTTCGTAACAATTATCATCGGGCTTATTTATTTCTAGATTTTTTTCAGGTGTTAATTTGTACGAACTTTTGGAATACGTTTTGCAACGTGTTATTTCTTTTTGCAAACATTCTTTGGACATTCTAACAGCCAATGTTTTACTTTTACCATATCTTTTCTCAATTTGTTCGTCTAACATTTTCCTAAGCTTCTCAGTACTGTCGTCATCGTTCGAACGTAACAACGCCAACGCGTCGAAAAATTCCTCATCGATTTCGGTCGAATTTTCCGCGTACATAATAATCCTTGATTATACGAGGACGTAAAAAAAAAACAATAATGATTAGATTAACATTGAGATAAAAAGTTCAATGTGAAGTAAACTGCAAATATCCGTGTATAAAATTGACAAATCGATATTGTCGACAATATTTTTCTTTAAATTTAATCGAAATTGAATCAGTCCGGAATTCGGAATGATCGAGTATACACAAAATTAATAGAAAATAAAAAAAAAGAAAAAAAACAAATTTCAATGCGAAATACTAAACCGTAATATATTCTTGAATACAATTTTGACGGATCGAGAATTAAGTTAATATCTTTTTTTTTCTTTTTTTTCTTTAAAACATCGATACAAAAATAATAATCCTATTAATAGAATCCTAAAACATACGAGAAAGATAATTCGCTATAAAACTAAACCGAATATGATTTCGGGCAAATCAAATTCAATCAATTATTTCCCAAAATCTCTGCTAATTTAATACAATATATTAAATAACAATAATAATAATCCTTAACGTTTAAATATATTTAACGAAAAAGAAAAAGAATAAGAAAATTTCGGCATAGAATAAAATCAAATGATACGAACTTTCAACATATAAAACGATTACAATTATCGAAATAAATAAAAAAAAAAAAAAAGAAAGAATATTGTAAAAAAAAAACCCATAGTAATATAATAATATCATAGTACACGTGGGTCACGTGGCGATTAAGGGGGAGGGTGGGGGTTGTGGGTGGCAACGTGAGAAGAAAGAGGTTAAAAGGGAAGGCAGAAAGGAAAGGAGTAAGGAAGGGTTAAGGGTAAAGGAGTAAGGAAAAGGGTCTCCAATTATCGTTCTCGCCAGGTTGGCTTCTCACCCTGCACAAGCTCGGTAGCAGAATCGACTGGAATCCAGCTGGAAGCCGGGAGCGTAGACGTCGAACGAGTGGGATTATTCCGTGTTGGCCGGGACCGGGGAACAATGTCGGAAACGACGAGGACGGTATGCCGAGATATGCAGGATATCGCGCAGAACTGCGATCCTTCGAGGTCGGAGAGCTATGGGTGTATATAGCGTGCACCAAGAAGGAGAGAGTAAGAGAAAGAGAGAGGAAGAGGGAGAGAGAGAGAGAGTCCGGGGGATGTATTCTATGGCAACTCGAACAGAACGAGGATAAGAGGGGTAAGAGGATGATGAAGAAGAAGAAGAGGAGGAGGAGAAGGAGGAGGTGGAGGAGGTAAAGTTATATATAGAGAGAGATAGAGATAGAGAAATATCATTCTAAGTGTGTTACCTTCCGCGAACGGCAACCGTTTCACCTAAATACGTAATAATATCTCGACGAACGGAGATACTATACTGGCATTTCTCGATTTCCTGAAGAATTCGATCGAAATGTGTCGTAATACTCCTAAGGTATTTCAGGTGAGCTTCCTCGCCTTCTATTTCCATCCTATCCCATCCCTTCCTTCCCCTAACCTATCCTTCCTTCCTTCCTTCCTTCCTTCATGGTTCCTCTTTATCCGCTTCGAATTCATCCCTTCGACGTCTTCCTTCTATCCACCCCTTCCCCTTCTTCTTCTTCTTCTTCTTCTTCCTGCTTGCTTGCTTGCTTGCTTGCTTTTCGTTCATCTTCATGGTAGAAGATAATAACGTTGGCATGCTAAGATTTTACGTCTTATCTTCGTTTATTTTATCCCCTCTTTCTTTATTTTTCTTTTTTTTTCTTCTTTTTTTTTTCTTTTTTCTTTTTCAACACCTTTCGAGAAAATTATCCAATTTATAATTTAGGCACCCCCAGTTTGTTATATATATTATAACATTATTAATAAATCATCGATAAATAAATCCATTTATTCGCGTCACAGTGTCAATACGATTTTTATATTCTCTATAGCGATGTGTGTTATTTTAATAATAATAGAAAAACAAGTAAGGAAACATATTTGCAAAAAAAATTGAATAGAAAATAAAATAAAAAAAAAAAAATGAAAAGATACGGTTTGACTGACTTAGATTTTCTATTTTCTTTCTATTCTCTTTGAAAGATAAACGACGAATATAAAAGATTGTAATAAAAGTGTAGTAGGTAAAGAAAGAGGTTTTACTTTTTAAGAGAATATAACGCGAGAGAGTGAAAGAGAAAGAAAGAGAGAAAGAGAAAGAGAAAGAGAGAGAGAGAGAGGTAGTCCTTTGCTTCCTTCCTCGAGGGAGAGCCTAAGAAAGGGAATTTTCGAAACGCGCCATCCGCGCGATATTTCTCAATACCTTCAACCTTACCACCCTCGTGAGTAAATCTCTACTCTGGATAAGACCCGCCAGGAATCTTACCGTCGCGGAACATCCGCTGGTTATAAGAAATGTTTTTGAAGTTTATGAGAGGACGCGGTGAAGGCTCAGCTATAGAAAGAACCGAACGCGTCTATTCCTCTCTCACTCTCTCTCATTCTTTTTCTCTCTCTTTTTTTTCCTCTTTCACTCTCTCTCTCTCGTTTTTTTCTTTATTCGTTCCTTTTTCTTTCCTTCGATAAACGCGAACGACGATAAAGAAGAAGACAATAAAAGCATCGCAACGTTGAAATATCGTCGAAAAATTGCTTTTCCGAAAAAAAAAGAAAAATAAAAATTGGAAGAAAAGAAAAAAATCTTCACCGTGACTATATACCCGTACCATGGACGAAAGATAAATATCTTTTTTTTGTTTACGTTTATATAAATAAAAATATTGTTAAAAATAAATTCTATTGATTTGCATCGGTATAAAATATCTCTTTTTATGTGACATTGTCGATGAAAATTTCTTTCTTTTTTATTCCTTTTTTTTTTTTTTTTTAAACGAATTCGTTACAATTTAAAATTATTATACTTTTTTTTTTCTTCCATTTTTAAAACAAATATTTAATTATTTAAACGATACTAATATCAAACTGTATTTATTCGACGTATGTTTGATTCTTTTATTTTCAAATGAAAAACATTGTTTTATTATTATTTAATTTACATTGTTTTTGAATGAATTAATCGAGATTAAGTTAATTAAAGATAAACGGGATTAATTAAGAAAAGATAATCGTCGCGACAGAAAGAAAATGGGATATTCTAATGATTGTTTTTTTTTTGTCAAGAAAAGCCTTTTACATGGAAGAAATTAGAATCGAGTTAGAATCGATAGTTAAACTGTACATTGGTAGCATAACGAGAGGACCTTTATCGGTTCCAAGGGAGTACACACTCGTAGAAGATCGTTGTTTCGTGCATAATTCTATTCCTATCTTTCTCTCTCTCTCTCTCTCTCTCTATTTCTAATGTTTCAAGCAAACGTAATAATAATAATAATAATAATAATAGTAATAAAAGAAAAGTGCGTGTAACCCACACGCGACTGAAGTGAAATTTCCTTAAGTTTTTTTTATGCTAATAATTGCAATCATATTTTATTTAATTATTATATTATTAATTATGTTTTTCTTTCATGCACAATTACATTTAATCTATTTAGAAATAAATAAATTTCTAAAATTAAAAATAGGAAATAAAGAAAAAATATTTGTACGTACTTACATACTCTACTCTATTGATTAGTATGATTTAAATAGGTTGATAGATTTTCAATGGTATTTCTAAAGCCATAAAAAGAATGGGATGATGGTAAAAATGTTTATGAAACCATAGAAAAATATAAGATCATTTAATTCCAATTACAAATCTTCTTACCTAATTTAAAAACACAATCACATAATTTTTAATGACTGCATACACTTATAAAACAAATAAGAATTAATTAGATATAATACAATTTTATAATTGAAATATTATATCTAATTAAGCAGTAATAAATTCTTACACGAAAAGCGAATACATTACGTGTTGCTTTTACCTCGTCTAAAAACAAAATAACGTAATATGTAAGTAGGTATACGTACGAGTCATCTCTCCCCTCCAAATTACCTTTCAAGATAATTCTCAAATGTTTTTCTACTTGTAGTTTATAAAGGACGAATTTTCACGAATTTTCCGAATAAGGATAAACATAGCAAATGTTCGTTTGACTTCATTGGATTTCTTCTCTTAAACATCTTTGCTTATCTCTTTTTGTTTTTGTATAAGATCGATATGATTTATATGTATCGTACGATACATTCACTCCTATGAATTATTACTGTGCTTGCAAATAAAAAGTAAATACGTATGTATGTATTAAAATTAATTTCTATACATAAAAAACATAGAATGATAATGTATTGAAAGCTACTTTTTTACTGATGTATTGTTTTGTATTTTTCTAAAGATAAATTTTTATTTATTTCTTATTATTTAAATAAGAGATTAATAAGAATATCTATGTGTATATATTTATATTGATTTTTCTCTCTCTTGATTGAGATAATTTTAGAAATAATTATTAAATGTAATTTTTACATTTCTCTATACTATACAAGAAAAGAGGAAGATTTATCTCGACGAATATGAAGAAGATAAAAAAGTAAACACGATTATAAGTTTAGACATGAATATTCGTGTTGTATTCTTCCAATGCTTGGAAACCTGAAAATATTAAAAGATTAGATTACATTAGTATAATATAAAGAAAATCAAAAATATGAGTGTTGTATGTGCACAGAATACGTGTACAATATTTATAGAAATAATGTCGTAAAACAATAATATAATTGGATAGAAAAATCCATACGAATGTATTGTACATAGAATTATTTTCTACGTAAATATTTTTGATTCTCGAAATAATAGTAATCATTCGATTATGTCACTTCGAAAAATCATTTGTTCGAAGATAATTAAATATTACAAAATAAAATTAAAAAATTCATTTTATCAGTCATTCTTATCAATGACATTGTTGCACTTTTCGTGTTGCGCTTTAAATTGTTTATGCACGTTGCAAGGCTATCTCATATCTCCCCTGTCGTTTCTGGAAGTCTTGTCCAATCGATATTTCCCCGTTTTACCTCAACCACTCAACTAACATGGCCCCCCCCGTGAAACCTTTCACTTTTCGTCTTGCTAGAAAATTTTCGGTACCCTCCCAAAACAAGTTTCATTTCAATAATAATAATAATAATAATAATAATAATAGTAATAAAAAAAATAATAACAGTAATAATAATAATAATAATAATCATTATCGAATGCGATCCCAACTATCGCGACAATGTTGGTAACATCGAATTCAACGATTTCTCTTTATTTTACCTTCTATCTAAACTTTTC